CTAGTTGGCCAGAAATGTCACAAAAAGAATCTAGGATCTTTTTAAGATTAGTACAAGCAGTGGCGTTAGCTTTATAGAAAAGTAAGCTATCATCTGCAAATAGCAAACAAGGAATAGAAAAGGACCTAGGACAAATTTCGAAGCCAATCCCAGATTTGCGGTTATTAGAACTTTCTAAAGAAAGTTTCCTAATAAGAACTTCCATGCTAAGGATGAATAAGTAGGGAGATAATGGGTCCCCTTGTCTAAGACCTCTAGAGGATTTAAACCATTCGGTTGTTTCACCATTAATTTTTAAAGAGTACAAAACTTTAGTAACACCATTGTTGAATCCAAGCAATCCATTGGGAAGGGAAGCTAAAAGCTTTTAGGCATTTCCATAAGAAATCTCATTCTATACTATCATATGCCTTTTCCATGTCAAGTTTTAAGAAGCACCAACCTGTTTTGTTTTTAGATTTCTGGAACGTGTTTAAAATTTCTTGGACAACGAGGATATTATCGTGGATAGAACGGTCCAGAATAAAAGCGTTTTGTAGCGGACTCACTGTTTTTTTGAAGAATAAGGCACAAACGATTAACCAATATCTTGGAAATTGCTTTGTACACTGTGTTCACAAGGCTGATCGGACGAAAGTGGTTAGGATTCTCGGGCATTTCCGTCTTGTCACCCTTCTTTTTTAACTATAGAAAAAAAGAGATAGTACATATCCTGTAGGAATAAGAGTAATGAAAGTGTGGTTTATTGCTGGTGGAAGACATCCATGTGAAAAGAAACTTTGGATCGCAAAGGTGATGTCTTTTTCAATAATTTGCCAATAGCATTGAAAAAACTTAGCTCCAAACCCGTCAGAGCCAAGGGCTTTGTCTGGGTTCATGTTAAAGAAAGCGTCTTTAATTTCTTTTTTAGAGACCGGAGCAAGAAGAGAGTTGCAATCTTCAATTGTCGTTATAGGGTCTAGAAAGAATAAGTCTAATTGTCTTGTAGTATTATGAGTTGTCTTAAATCTCGAGCGCAATGAGTCTAAAAGGAGGGTTTTAATCTCATCACAAGCATCAACCCAATCATTATTTTCATTTTTTAGCCTATGAATGGTCATTGAGACTAAAAATTTGGGACGTTTGACAATTGTGAGCCAAAAAAGTAAAATATTTACCAAGTTGGACGCGTGGCTAAAGTATTTACCAAAATAAGCTTCCAGGGTAAAACGCTGCCCGAGGCAGCGTTTTACCCCCTATTTTTTTAAAAAAAATATTCTGCTTGAAAAACGCTTCCTGGGGCAGTGTTTTTCTAGGTTGACTTTTTTTTATTTTCGTAAACTAAACTTTTAAAAAAAAAAAAAAAAATACACAGCATAAAACGCTGCCCCAGGCAGCGTTTCATTGTTGTTAATGAAACGGTGCCCCAGGCAGCGTTTCTGGCGTTCTGTTTTTACAAAACCAGAAGCAGCCGTTTCTCGCCTCTTCTTCCTCATTTCCTCCTTCTCCTCCTCCTTCCCTTCCTCCATTCCCTCTTCAATCCCCTTCAACCCAAGCATTCACTTCGACCGCCCTAGCTTCCAATTCCAAGTATGGTTTATGTTGAGTATTAGGCATTTATGCTAATTCTTGAATTGTTATTGTTAGATATTAGTTTGGATAATGTAGAATTGTTGGTGTTGAAATCTTGATAATGTTAAGTTCTTGAATTTCTAGGGTTTATGTTGAATTTTAGGGGTTTATGCTAATAGATGAATTGTTATTGTTAGATATTAGTTTGGATAATGTAGAATTGTTAGTGTTGGTAATCGTTGGTAATTGTTAGTTTTGGAATGATTGTGATAACCTACATAATTGTTTGTTAATGGTGACTTAGTGATACTTAGTTGTTCTAAATTGTTAAGTTTTGGTGATTTAGGGATGATTTAGTGTCTTTTAGTGTAATGTGTTTTGGTTGTTGTGTAGAATATGGCCGCACAGAATGTAGTTTTGTTGTGCCGGTGGGGAGGTGAATTTCTGTTTGATGGACCCCGTGTCGAGTATAATGGGGGAAATATATATGGAACCACTAACACTTGAACCGAACATGACCTTCAGTGATTTCATGAACGAGGTTCATAGTAGCATTGGTTCAAACTCGGGGAGTGTTGAACTAAACATTAAAATGAGGTTTGAGACCGGGAATGGGGTTCAAGTGTTACATGTGTCCTCGAATAAGCATTTGAAAGCTTTAAGGAGCGTTGTAGCGTTGAAGGGTGTTCCCACCGAGATTTATGTGGAGATGGTGCCTATTTGTACCCAACAAAGTACCTGGGCAGAACCACAATCTACATTTATTTCCGGTTACAACACACAACCGCAAGTGCCCTCACACGACACTCCCCCAGCTGAATATGGGATGGGATCTTTTAGTCGAATGTTGAACGACGATCAATTTCACATGCCGTTCAGTTCTCACATAGCTTCACCTATACATGGGGCGACATATGTAGAAATGGCCGGGCAACATGGGTCTTCGACGTCGAACATCGTCACTTCTTCACCAATGCAATTGCATAGACATTCGCCTGGGCAATATGATGTTCGAGCTTCGCCGACTCAACTTGTGGCAGTTCATCTTGACACGGTTGTGAATAACGAATTGTCTGTGTATGATGTGTATACAAATGATGAGGCCGAGAGCGGAGAGGAGGAAGATGGACTTCGGAACATGGATGTTGAACCTGCAGACATGGAAGTTGGCGAGCCCTTGGTCAGAACTCCCGTATCTTGGTTCAGTGAGATAAATGAGAACTATGAAGTTGATCCGTATTGGACCGATTCGGGCAGCCATCCATCGTTTGTTCCGGGGGGAGAATTTGAGAAGGGGATGTTCTTTGAAAGTAAGAAAATGCTCCTAGAAATGGTGAAGATGTATTCCATACAGAGGAATCAATTGTACACCACAGTGACATCGAATGAGAGTGTCCTTCATTTGCGGTGCAAGAAGAAATGCGGTTGGATGCTACGAGGTGCCAAGTCAAGTGAGCACTCGCGTGGCTTTACCTTAGTCACGTACAAAGGGCCTCATCGGGAGAACTGTGTCACTGAGGTACTCTCCGATTGTCACGCACACTTGGATTCATCTATAATATCAGAGTCCGTGAAGTCCTTTGTGCGGAAAGATCCGACGCTGAAAGTTAAATTCATCCAGGAACTGATCTACAAGCAATTTCACTTCAATGTTCCGTATCGGAGAGCATGGTACGCCAAGGAGAAAGCTGTAGCAGAAATATTTGGGGATTGGGAGAGTTCTTACGGCAGACTTCCGCACTTCATGCAAGCACTCCAACAATCAAACCCGGGTACGTGTGTCGTGTGGAAATATAAAGCCTTGGTGGACAGTGTATATTACAGCAACATGGAGGTGTTTGAATGAGTGTTCTGGGCATTCGGTCCTTGTATCGACGGTTTTAAACATTGTATACCTGTTATCTGCATCGATGGGACGCACCTGTACGGGAAGTACAAAGGAACAATGTTGGTTGCTGCAAGTGTGGATGCAAGCTTCCAAGTATTTCCGCTAGCATTTGCGGTGGTAGAAGGGGAAAACACTTCCAGCTGGTCTTGGTTTCTGGGTTGCATTCGGGTTCATGTCACGCAAAGAGATGGCCTGTGTGTTATATCTGACCGACATCCTGGCATAATTGCAGCAATGAGTGATCCTAACATTGGATTCACCGAGCCGCGAGCCTGTCACAGGTTTTGTGTTCGCCACATAGCTTCTAACTTGAAGACTCACGTGCGAAGCAACGAAATGAGAGATATGTTCAAGGGTGCGGCGTACCAAAGGCAGGAAAGAAAACTTCAAGCGGATTTTTCTTTTTTTTTTTTTTTTTAATTTTTTTAAAAGTTTAGTTTACGAAAATAAAAAAAAAATCAATATTTTTTTTAAAAAAATAGGGGGTAAAACGCTGCCGAGACAGCGTTTTACCCTGGAAGCTTATTTTGGTAAATACTTTAGCCACACGTCCAAGTTGGTAAATATTTTACTTTTTTGGCTCACAATTGTCAAACGTCCAAAAATTTGGACCATTTCTCGATTTGTGCATGTCATCCTTAGCTTGCGCAGGGGTCATGCTAATCTTCTCTGTATCGTTCCAATTTTATAAGATGTCTCCGAAAAGACGGTGGGGATCGTGATTATTGTAATACGCTTGTAGCTTCATTGAGTCAGAATTAATCATGATTATTATATTGATAAATGTTGTATGAACCATCACAATTAAAAACTAACAATGTTGTGTGTGAATTATTCTCCCTTTAATTATACCATTTTTGTTAATTGGTTGGATTTCTTTACATTCATTTTAGAATTAATTTTTTTAAATGGTCAATTTGTTTTACACATATGATTTCTATCATAAGAGTTTCCCTCCTGATTCCAGGGGATCCTGGGATCGATTCTCACCCCCGCCCTTGTGGCTCTCTAAACACCAAAAAAAATAAAAATAAAAAATTAACTATACTTTATTTTATTTTTGTAAAATATAGTATTAGAATAAATAGAAATTCGTTTGTTAACTAGACAATTTAATTTGTTTGATGACTAGAAATACTTGGGCACAAATTTTTAAATTACAAAAAAAAAAAAAAAAAAATGTGTGTACAATAATTATTGTACATGTAATCTTGAAATGATCATTGTAAAGTTGCTTTAAAATGATCAAAATTACCCCTGAAATGAGTAAAAGTTACCCAAATATGTATAAAAGTTATCAATGCTTTATTGATAAAGTAAGACACTTTAAATGACTGAATATCAAATCTTAGTGATTATTAAAGTAATTACATTACCCTTACAAAACATATCCTATTGTCTATTTGCAATAAAATCGTATCAGATTTAAAGTTATCCAAAAATAGCAAAAAGTTATCTTAATTGGCTAAAAATTACCCTAATATTATTGTTCGGTGTACACTATACTAACATTGAGTGTAAAAAAAAGTTTTTGATATTTAGGGGATCTTTACTCTGAAAAACATAATTTTGTAATAATTTCCAATGCGTATAACATTGCTCTAAAGTTTTACATTGAAGGAATTACCCAACTATAATCCTCAGGCATTTGCTCCCCTAGGTTCAACTTTAGGGTTATATTGTTGAATAATCAAAACTGAGGCGGTAGTGGAAAAATTAGGTCCAGATAAAATATCTCCTAAAGGCCCTAATTCTGGACATTGCTCCCAATCATTCATCCCCATTGTCAACATTGAATTGACCCGACCTCCTCGGCCCACAATGAAAAGTCCATATTGCCCTTCTAATGATTGTAATGTAGTGTAGGCTTGTGCTGAATTGACCAAATGTTTCTCCAAGTAGGACACGTTTCCTCCTGCAACATGCTTCTCATAAAATTTTGCAAAGCATTCATCATCGAGCTCCATCTCTTCTTCTTGCTGATATGTTTTTCTCGTATTATTATTCTCTACATCAGTATCTACTAGAAATCTCATGACTGTGAGCTTCACTCCACGCTGGTAAGCAATACGACTTGCATAGGCTAATGCTTCTCTATCATCTTTGCCTCCAATAAATATAACGACAGTACTCAAAGCGCTGCTTAATGACTTCAATATTTGATTGCTTGCACCAAAACCTCGATCCACCATGATTGCTATGGAGCATGGGGCATTGCGAAGTACCTAATACACACTCAACAAAAAGTGAAATAGGATGAGTAGTCTCAAATCTTGACATTTACATACACTCAAATCAAGCATTACCTTGCGATTAACATATCTAAATCCTGCAACTTTGGAATCTGTATGTTCGTCAATTGGAGGACCATTATGAAATGGGAGTACAATTAAGCTAATCATTGAATCCTCTGCTAAGTTGCAAATTTCTTGGTGCATGGTGTTGTAAGTGGCTAAGGCCATGGCTCTCCGAAGGGTGATTCCATCTCCGTTATTCTGAATATACTCTTGTAGTGCAGTGGTGATTTGCTCTCTGATTTGGATTACTTTTGAATCTGTCACCTCTACACTATCTATTTCTCCTGGAACTAATAATGTGTCAGCAATTTGGTATGTGAGTTCTACCATGTCAGTAGCATATACTAATATGCCTGGGTCACCTGCCCCCTTGGAGATCTCCATGAAATTAATGGCACAAGGAACATTTTCGGGTCCATGGAAGCATAACAGGATTCGAAGCTCTTCAGTAGGATTATGCCATTGTAGTGCTAAAGGTTGCCTTGGCAACCGTTTCCTAGCGCGTTGAATGATGTATTGTGCAACCATTGGGATGTATACAATCTTAAGGAGCATTGCTAATAGCAAGCCAATACACGTAGAGTAAGTAATAATGTTTTTCTGCAGACACCCATTACAAGAAGCACATGAGATTAAAAGGAATTGTGCATCCTATGATCATGATGATATTATGTAATTCTTTTTGAACAACTATTCAATATAACAAGGTCAAAGTTAATATGTAAAAAAAATGTTTGAATAACACATACCTTCATAGCAATAATAGCCACATATATGTGTAAATGGCCTTTGACATTCAAAAGTGATGCAAGCATAATAGAATCACGCCATTGAATTCCAGAAAGAAACCCAGATAGAAGAGCACCAGTGATTTTTCCAATTGTTCCGACGACAAAGAAACCAAACAGCTTTGCCCAAGAGCTCAAGGTTCGAATTTGAAATCGGTCGAATTGTGCTTCTGATCCAACCCACACAAAAAAGTAGGGGTAAAACACAAAAGTTAAGAGGTAATTGACTTTACTAACAATAAACTGTGAAATCCTCCCTTGTCGAGGTAAAAACACCCCGGTAATGAAGGCACTAAGCACAGGACTAAAGCCTGTGAGTGGTGAAATACAACCAAGACACACTGCAAATGCAACAGAGAGCACTAAGTGTGAGCCTTTAAGTGGCTTACCGTAGGGGTTAGCATTATTGACCCAGCTAAAAATAAGAGGTCCTGCCACTGAGGTTATAATGATTTGCAACAGCAATGAGATAGCAAGAGGGACAAGTCCGGGACCATGTAGAAGATCATGTTTATCAGGCCTTTCCAGTAATCTTCGGCGTATTTGGAACCCACTTTCAGGCTGGAAGATCACATATCCAACGCAAATGATCAATATTGTTATCAACTCCGAGTACACGGCTGCAGAAATGGCGAATTTGCCAATTTCGGATTTACCAATCTTAAGATCTGTTAGCACGCGAGTTAATAATGGGGATCCTGTACTTGATAGGAGTATTGCAAAAGTAACATTGAATTCAATGCTTGAATTCATTGCATATTGTAGGATAGGAGTTGAGCTGTACATTAAAATAAATGTGAAGAACATTCCAGTATATGCAACTATAGCCTCTCTTTTGGGTATGCGAAAAAGCCCCAAAGCAAACATGTAAAGCGTCATTCCAAAATCTGTTAAGAATTTCATGTTCTGCAATCCGTTACTTTCTAAACTCAGTAGCTTTGTCCTCACAAGACTTAAATTGCCTAAAATTAAACCCACCTGCATTTTTATTTGGCATGTAAAATTATTTAACAAGTAACAGAATTCTTATGCATATAAATAGAAAAAAGAGGAGTAGATAGAGACATACAACAGTCTCTGAGATGATCCTAGGTTGTGAAAGAGGCTTCAAAGAGATGTGTAATCCATGACAGAGTGCTACCAAAACGATGAAGCAAGTAATGGATGAAGCAGCATTTGAGATCGCATTATTACAGTTTGTGTTATTGTCGCCCATTTTCCTTCTAGTCTTTTCTTGTGTCACTCAAATAGCTGCTTCCATTTTCCACATACAAGAATCAGATATGCCTTGCGTTTGCAAATTTGATATTGGAATTAATATAGAGTAATATTTCTTTGGGATTAGACAATGTAATTGCAACATAAAAACCTAAGATTTTGCATTTATGCACCTTATACAATCTAAAATAATAACTAGAATTAAAGTACATCCACTTTTGATTAAGTCACATGGATTTATGGTGCACAAGCCTCTCTCCTTTAGCTCACTTTCTACTTCTTATATTACCCTATGAAAAAAAAATATATTAAAAATTAAGAAGCACCCACATTATTGCAATGTTGTTGGAATAAAAGAAGTATATGTTTTGATTTATAGAATTTATTAGATAAAGAGCGGTACAATGTAATATGTTTATAATAGAATATCACAAACAAAAAAAATAAATAAATAAATAATTACTTACCCAATAAACTTTTCAAAGAAGTGTAATAGCCAAATCATGTGTAATGTAAATGATTGGCTTTTTGGGATCATAAACGCAATAGAAGATGGATATTCCTTCGTAATTTCTCCAACAATAATAGTTATTGTAATTATAATCACCGAAAACAAGGAAACCAAATACCCAAATAAAAAAAAGTCAAGATTTTTGATAATATGAAAAGCTGAATCAAGAAGAAAGCAAAAAAAAAAAAAAAAGGTTTTGATACAATATGAGAGATAAATGGGAAGAAGACAGAGAAACATTAAATGTGTGAGCTGTAAATCATCTTAGATTGTTTAAGCATGTTAATCATCCCAGATCAACAAATATTTTGTTAATTATGTTTTGAGTTTTACATATAGGAGAATTTTACACGTGTAACTTGTAAGTACTTGATTTTATATGTCAAATTTTAACAAAATGTTGTTAATTGCACAAAGTTCATTTAATTTATTTTTACCCGTTTTGTTGAGTTGGGCTTCTAAATATAAAGCAAAAAAACTCATTAATTATCTGCTTACTTCAAGTGCTTTTCTTGTAACTATTTTGTATTAACGCTTTAAGATTTTTATTTCGATGAGAACCAAACTCTAAAATGAGAATTTCGTGCATTTAAAATAAAAAAGAATGTCTAATTTCTTCTTATAACTCTTATGTGTGATGCGTCATACGATCACACTTAATAATGTGAAAGATTCATGTGATTAATGTGGTTATTGATTGTAGGTAAATGAGGACAATGTCATGAATATTGTGCACCGGTCCAAAATCGGACTAGTATCATACTAGACCTGGAACAAATCTACAAATCTTCTTGGAACGAAGATTGGATACGGACATATATATTTTAGGAAAATTTGTCAGAAAAAAATCTTTTAAAAGCACCATTTTTGCATAAAAAAATGTCCACCACGTTCATTTTTTTTGCAAGAAGCACTACAAAAAAATGTCCATATAGAAACAGAATTTTAGCGATAGAATTCAATCCATTTCTTAATTAGAGACGGAATTAAAAAATTCATCTCTAAATTAGAGATGAAATTAAAAATCTGTCTCTAAATTAGAAACGAATTTTTTTTTCCGTTGCTAAATTAGAAACAGATTTTTTTTCCGTTGCTAAATTTAGAGACGGATTTTTTTTCCGTTGCTAAATTAGAGACGGATTTTCAAATCCTTCTGTAAACTAGAAATGGATTTTCAAATCCATCTCTAAACTAGAGACAGATTTGAAAATCCGTTTCTAAACTAGAGATGGATTTTAAATTCTGTCTCTAATATTTCTTTCACTTATTATCAATTATGTGCGTAAAAGTAGACAAATAATATTTGGTATAGTTGGTAAGAGTTTCACTATGTGACTTTGAGGTCACGGGCTCGACTCCTACCTATCCCAATTCTTGAGATTGGGGATTAAAGGAGCCTTACATGCAAAGTCGAGTCAGGTTGACCCGACTGAGGTCGAATCGAATAGCAGCTACTTTTAGAGCCAAAATATTTTTTTCCGTTGCTAAATTTAGAGACAGATTTTTTGTTTCCCGCTGCTGATATGACCGACGGATTTTTTTTCCCGTTGCTAAATTTAGAGACGAATTTTTTTTTTAAGTTGCTAAATCTAGCAACAGATTTTTTTTTCCGTCTCTAAATCCATTTAGCGACAACCAACAGAGTGATTTCTGTCGATATATCCGTAGCTAGCTATGTCCAGGATTTTTAGAAATTAGCAACGGATTTCACCTGTCGCTAAAAGGCCAAATTTTTGTAGTGATGAAACCTATTTACTTAATCACCCTCTAATCTACTTGATTACTCTCTAATTTCCTCTCATTTTCACTAGTTACTCTCTAAGCCACCTAATTATTTAATAATTAACTTTAATTTATTAAATAAAAAAAATAAAAAAATAAAAAAAACCACCATCTCTAACCACCAGCCAACCACCCTCTCCCCTAGTAGCAACCCTTTCCCCATCAGTCCCCCACCCCGGCGACCTACCTGGTCGTCGGTCGACCCTCCCTTTCCCCCTTATCCCCCGGCGACCACCACCTCCATTCGAACTTCTGACTCTTATTTCTCCCTTAAAGACTCTCAAACTCACTACCAAAATTTGCAAGGATCTTCTTGGAAGCTTTAAATTAAGTTCTTCCTTACAATCAATGTATTTTTGCTTCGATTTGATCTTATAATTTGCTTGAATTTTGCGATTATTTTATCCAAAAACCCTAGAAAAATCGATTTGGGGGTTTTCAATTTTGTGCATCTTGCTTACAATTGATGCTTGTTTTGGCTTTGATTATGTATGTATGTGATGCTAGGGTGATTTAGAAGCAAATCCAATTGTTTTGGCTTTAATCTTGGGAAAGGGTGGCAGAAGAGAAGGAATTGATGGTGGTGGCCGGAGAAGAAGAGTTTGGAGGTTTGGTAATGGCAGAATTTGAGGTTGAGGAGTTTGGTGGAGAGGGAGATGGAGGTGGAAGGGAGAAGAGAGAAAGTGGCGTCAGAGGGGGCTGCTGCCACTTTCCAGGGGAAAGGGAAAAGGAGTGGGGTGGCTGGATGGTGGTAGTGGTGGTGGTTTTTTTTTTTTTTAATTTTATAAATTAATTTAATTATTAAATAGTTAAGTGAGACTTAAAAGATAATTTAGTGAATTAAAGACGAATTAAGTGCAATTAGAGACATTAGGTTTTCTTCCACAAAAAAAACTTACAATCGGGTTTTCTTTTGCCAAAATGCTAAAAATTGGATTTTCTTTTGCCAAAAAGCTTTTAAAAGGGTTTTTTTTTCACAAAATGGTGCTTTTAAAAGTTTTTTTTAACAAATTTTCCTATATTTTAGACTAGTTTAACCTGTTTAGATGTCTTATGATTCTTCTCATCTAAAAACAATTTTTTTTTTTTAAATGTTGCTTGCATTTACTAAGACCTTTATGGTTTTATGGAACAATGTTAAGTACACAGTATCGAAATGACACTATATTGACCAAACTAGATAATGCCCGAGCCATGCTCGATTTTTAAAATTAATACGGAGTAGTAATTGAATTATAAAAGTCTCTAAGTTAATAGTCATCCTTCAAATTAATTAAAATGTAAGATAATAGTCAACCATAAATAAATAAATAATAAATTTTGTAGATAAATTAATAATTTTGCAAAAATGAAAAGAAAAAGAGTTTGGAGGGAAAATTCCCTCCAAAAAAGATCCTACTTTATTATAGGATATAAATTAACTAACAAAGAAACTATAAATTCATATCCAAACAAATCAAAAATTGATTAATATGAAAAAAAAAATAAAATAAATAAAAGCAAAAAATATTGCCATCAAAAGCGAGTAATGTTAGATTGTTAGGAGGATTATTATTTAAATCAAGTAGCTTCAGACTCCACTTGATTGAAATCTTGCTATAAGCCTCTCATCATGCATAACCTTACATTTTCCTCAATTTTCACATCTTTTAATAACATCAACTCAAACACTTAATTTTGTTTTAATTCATAACCTTACATTTATCAGCCATAATGAAGAACAATGCTGGAGAGAAGGCTCTTCTCAAAGTTTTGGTAGATGAACACATATGTTTAGGAAGTAGGAACCAAAAGGCGTTATGAAATACAGACACATTCTAAAAAAGCAAATAAAGGCACCCATAAAAACATAGGCTGCTGCTTAGCATTGCAACATCAAACAAAACTTCATGTTTTTCCTATTGAGTAGGTTCCTATCAAAAATGTCAGAGATCATCTACTTGAACAACTATGGAGCAAAATACAAATTAGATGATTCCAATCTTGTTTGCAACATCCAAGGCATCATAGTCAGGTGTCAAACGAACATACGCCTTCTTAGTGCCATCAGGCCTGCAAAAAGGAAATTAATCATACAATTAGAATGACAGGAAACTTTCAGACTTACAGCAAACCCTAGTCAGTAATGACAAGCTAAAAATCAGCAAGCAGGATTAGAAATACTGCAAGTATGGCACTACTCTGTTCAATTTATGGCTGCCTTTGATTTTCAAGTGATTAGTTTGCCATTGATAAAAAACAGTGCCACAAGAATATATATCTAACAGTATGCAAGTCTTTCAAACTCATGATAAATGAGAAAAATAAGTTATTTTTGTAGAATATACTATGTATTAGTTACACAATTTTAACCTAAAGAGTGAAGAGAGAATCAAAACATAATACTTCGCATTAAGTAAACACAGATAACAATAAGAAGCAAAGAGAAGCAAATTGATTGGCCGAAATATTCACCTGATCAAGGTATTCACTTTCTTGGCCTGAATGTCATACATTTTCTTGACGGCGGCCTTAATCTTCTTCTTGTCAGAACGGATGTCAACAATAAAAACCAATGTGTTGTTGTCCTCAATCTTCTTCATTGCAGACTCGGTAGTCAAGGGATATTTAAGTATCTGGTAGTGATCCAACTTATTTCTTGGTGTAGCACTAATACGAGGGTACTTAGGGTTTCTGTCCTTCTTCAATGTCTTTGGCCGATGGAAAGTAACCTTGGTCCTGATCTTCTTGGCTTTCTTCTTCAAGGTACTTGAGCCAGATTTCACAGCTTTAGCAGCTTTCAAGGCCTGTGCCTTGGGATCAGCCTTCTTTACATCTGCCGGATAAATGATGTCAGGTATCCTTCTAGGTTTTTAAAAATGTAATACAATTTTATCGCAGCTAAAAAGAATTTGTAACACAGCCAGAACTCCAGAAGTGCAGCTGGCCGGAACTGAATAATAAAATAACTAAACAAAATCGAAAATTGGAAAGAGTGATTGCATGAATAACTAATATATATAGCAGGATTAAACAAGGAAGAATTTTTCGCATTACTTACTAACTGATTAAATATCAGCTATCAAATTATTGTCAGCCTAAACAAACACAACCAAGATTTTGATCCAGTAGCAACCCGATGAATAGCAATTACCACAGCAATCTTATACTTAGTGTGGCAGAACAATATTAAGTTTTCTGAACCAAAATAACTCACTCAAACTGACATAATGTAATGCATCAGCAATCAAAGCATTAAACCCAAGAGTAGCATGACAAAAGTTGCATTTAGAACAATAAGAATTTCTCAATATATATAATTCAAGGTACCAACACCCCAATGCCAACCATCTTTCTTAACATCAAATTCGCTATTTCACCATATCACATTACCAAATATATGAGCAACAAAATAACAAATGGTAAGATGTTAGAAAATTAAGGACAAAAAAAATAAGCCAAGAATTGTTAAACCCAAAGTTTAGTTTATCAAATAAACAGCATACATTTTAATAATCACTAACATTAGCACATTGTTATATCAAGAACATTAAGCTTATAAAAGCAGAATTCACAAAAACAATAGCAAGATTAAAAGTTTAATTTATTAACCAAATTCAACTTGAACTCAAACTAGATTCATATTAGCACATAAAACAACAATTAACAAAATATAATCCAAAAATTCATGTATTCCTACATAATTAACAATTAAGGGCAAAAATTCTAACAAAAAAATTGAAAATGGAAAATTAGAAATTGATTAGAATAGGAAAAATAATACCTTTCGCAGGGGGTGCCATCTCTGCTGGAATTGAAACCCCAAATCTACGAGAGGGATAAACTAATGAGAGAGAAGGGAATCCGGCGTTGTAAGGCAACTAGGGTTTATGAGTGTGATCTGAGATTTTTTTTTTATTCGAGTCTTACAAATCTTACGGGCTCATCTCGTTTGCAGACTGTTTGTTTCTATTGGGCTGGGCTACTCGATTGTTGCCCAGGAAACACACTCCCTCTATCCCTTATTTTTTTACGACTTTTTATGGTCTCTAAAACGCGCTTTCAAATAATACGCTTATATGTCTCCATTTCTATCTGTAAAAAATTATAAAAGTTTGATATTAATATAATATGCAATGAGACGATTAAGAGAGAGAAATTATCTGCACATTATAAATAGGGCGATTAGAAGAGGAGAGAGGAGGGGAATTGGTAGAGTATTAGCCGACCAAGTAAGCAAATTCGTAGTGGTTTTTCTCACCGGAATTCCATGGTGATCCATTTCCTTTTTAAACTACCCAATTGCCTAAATATAGTCCCTAAATCATTTTATATGTCAACATTTTTTTCAATGTAATCATCAACACTAAATGTTAAAGTCCAAAAACTATTAATGACTAAGCAATCGAAATCCCTAACTATTGCTGATAAAGCTTTCAATGTCCCTGACCTATTGCTGATTAAGCTTAGTCCTTAAATTATTGCTAACAAAGCTTTATGACAAGCGCACTTTATGGCACACTTTGAAGCATATAAACGAGTGATTTCGGACGCAATTGAGTCCACTTTGGTCATTTATATGCTCATTCGCGTCATATTTACTTGCTTTACGCATTTCACGGTTTTCGAGGTGTTTTTGATACATTTACAGGTATATTTGATCGAGCCGAGCCGAATCCCGAACCTTTGGTGCGTAATCGAGCCATTACCGAGCTTAGTCCAGCAAGCAAAGAGGCCACGATGATCTGCAATTCTGAACACAGAGCAAGAAGCAGTTCCAGACATTCAGCACGGCCGTGCCAAATGTGGCACGTCCGTGCCAGAACTACAGCTCGGCTCAGTCAGAAGCAACACGACCGTGCTGATGTCTAGAGGCTCCAACAGAATGAAGTTAGAAGCAGCACGGCCGTGTGTATATTGGCACGTCCGTGCTGATACTAGCACGTCCGTGCTGATCTTTAGCACGCCCGTGCTGGATATGATGAATGAACAGCCAAACTCCCTGCCTCCTAGCACGGCCGTGCCAAATCTGGCTTGCCCGTGCTGTACCTTCTGCACTCCCGTGCCAAGTTCAGCACGTCCGTGCTGATCTTCGTGATTCAACAGCCAAAATCTTCTGCCAGCCAGCACGGCCGTGCCATATTTGGCACACCCGTGCCAAACTCGCAGGGGTATTCTGCGTAACTTTTCAGCGTGCAAAAAGGACTATAAATAGGCTCATTTATTAGAATGTAAGCAAGCAATTAATTAGGATTTCTACTTTTTCTCTCCTTTCTAGGGTTCCAAAACTTTATTTAGGGTTTTATTTAGTTCTCTTTTAGATTAATCTTAGATTATTAGTGAAGATTTGTAATTTCTCACTCAAGGCAAGCATTTGGAATACTTTGTACGAATCATTGACAACGGTTATCAAAGCTTCAATCTTTTGCTTTGTTTGACTCCATTTAATATTGGTATTGTTCTCTTTCTCATTTATTACTCATTTATTGATATTTGCTAGTATTAATGTTAGGGTTTATCAGGGTTCTTGAGATGTTTGCTTCTTTAGTTTTCAACATGTGTGAGTAGTTCTCTAACTAGGGTTTCGGGATGAAACCCTACCTTAATTAATCTAAGTGTTTGGGGTTTGTTCTTGGTAAATGACTTGTGATTAAATTGATTATGAGCTATTGCATGTTAAATCACTATAATAGGAGTAGCTAACCTAGAGTATTGATTTTGAATGCATGTTCCACTTGTTAAAATCATTCATTTGTGAATCAAGTGTTTCATTATTGATTGTGGTTTGATTATGTATCAAGTTGTGTTAAGTGCATGAGCAATCCAAGCTTAATGTTTCTTGTTGTCCTCCTATCACATGATGTTGATATGACTTATGGTCCTTACATGCTTGTTTACCTCCATGATCCCCTTTTGCTTGATTATTGATGGTTGGGTGGATTCCCGTTCACCCTAGTGTTTTAGTCAATTGATTATCTTTTTGTATCGTAGCTTTAGAACACCTTTCACACCTTGACTTCGAACTAGCTTAGGATTTCAAGATCAATTAGCATTTACTCCCGTTTCTCGTGGACCGAACCTTTACTTGCCATTATATTGATTTTAGGGTGTTCGTATAAATATTGTTTGATTGAGCGTTAGACTGTAGCGACCATTCCAACGCTTGTCAAAATGGCGCCGTTGCCGGGGAGCGGTGTTTGATAATTGCTATTTGATTGCTTGAGTCTAGTTCACTTTTTTTTTTTTTTTCATTTTTCTTTTCCTTTTGGCTACACTTGTAGCCTTGCTATTTGATTGGTTTGGTAGAGTTTATGCGCAGGTCTAGACAAAGAGAGCTAGTGCCATTCGATCCCAAAGTCGAAAGGACTTGCCGAAACAACCGTAGGTCAAGATCCCGATCAAGGACCTCGACCTCGAGAGAAAGATCGAAAAGCCCTACCACACAACCAACGCAAATGGATAATGAACAACCTCATCCACCGCCGCCACGCCCACTAAAGGAGTTGGGAACTCCGGGAGCATATAGAGCTTCAAGCGGGATTGCTCCACCCACCACACAAGCCAATGATTTTGAGATCCGGCCCGCCATGATCACCCTCATCGAACGGAGACAATTTAGTGGTGCTAAACATGAGAGCCCCTTGGCTCACTTAAACGAGTTCGAGAAGTATTGCAACACTATAAAAGTCAACGGGGTGACTCAAGAATTTGTGAGACTAAAGCTCTTCCCATTCTCACTAATCGGGAGGTCTCTTGAGTGGTTGGAGAAAGAGGTCAAACCGAACTCTCTACGCACTTGGGACGATGTCACCACGGCATTCTTGGGGAGGTTCTACTCTCAGAAGAAGACGGCCGATGCCAGGGCCCTAATCCAAGGCTTTAGGCAAAGAAGTGGGGAGTCAATCTATGAGGCTTGGGAGAGGTACAAGGAGTACCAGCGAGAGTGCCCTCACCATGGGATCCCAACTTATCAAGTGTTACAAATCTTCTACGGGGGACTAAGCCCTCAAGGAAAGACAAGTTTGGATGCGGGGGCGGGTGGCCCTATCATGAACAAAACCGAGGAGCAAGTGATAGATATCATTGAGGATGTGGTACGACACCGCATGGATTGGCAAGAGGGGGAGCGAGATGCCGCAAGCAAAAGTGGAGGAGCGGCCTATTCGGTAGACCATCTAAATGCAATCGGTAATTTGACTTCGCAAATCGCAAACCTTGGAAAAGAGATGTCATCCATCAAAGATAAGCTCGATGCTACGCCTTTTCAAGGTCCTCCCTCCCAATCTAGTGGGAGAGGTATGAACTCTAACTCTCTTAATATGCCTCATGGATGTTTGTTTTGCGAAAATTGTGGATCCTATGACCACGATACCTCTTGTTGTAATTGTGATCCCCAATTCCCCTCTAATTATAATGATGGTGGTGTAAGCGAAAATGAACATGTCAACGCCTTGTCTTATGATAATAGACCTAGGAATGACAACAATAGGTACCTACCACCTAATCAAAGAGGGAATAACTTTAATCAACAAGGTAACAATTTTGATAACCAACAAAACCATTGGGGAAATAGGAATCAAAGGGACCAAAATCCCCAAGGAACCTATAATCAACAAGGGAACTTTGGAAATCAAAATCGATACCACCAAAATTGGGGAAACCAAGGGAACTCTAATCAAGGGCAACACAATCAAGGGGTGAATGCTAATAATAGGGGAAATTGGAACAATAATCAAAATAGGGGCTTCCAAAATCAAAACCCCCAACAATCCAATGCGAGTGGTTCACGAGCTTCTAATGACAATTATTATGCTCAAGGACCACCGCAAAGGTCTAGTTTGGAGGAGATGATGGAAGCTCAAGCTAAGATGTTCAACACTTTCATGGCCACTAGTGATAAAAAATTTAATGAGGTGATGACACACAATAAGATGCTTGAAACCCAAATATCCCAACTAGCCAATGCTATTAAGGACGGAGTTGGCACTTCTAAACTCCCTCCTCAAGGTGTTGACCCTAAGAATTCCGTGAATGCTATCACTACTAGGAGTGGTAAGACTTTGATAGAGAGTGATAAAATGACTTCATCTAAGAGCCCACCTATCGCCACACCTATCATTGACAAAGTTGTTGAAAGTGAGAGTGTGAAGCCCGGAGAGGATAATAAGGTTAATGAGATTCAAAAAGAGAAAGAGGGAGCTCATGTTGAAGAACCCGAGCTATTGAAAAAACTCCCCTACCCCCATAAATTTGTAAGACACAAGTTGGATGTCCAATTTGGGAAATTCTTGGAAACCTTGAAGCAAGTTCATCTTTCTATTTCTTTCACCGATGCTATAAAACAAATGCCTAACTATGCTAGGTTCTTGAAAGACATTTTGAGTGGGAGGAGGACTTGTGATGGGGTAGAAACCGTTAACCTCACGGAGAATTGTAGTGCCATAATCATGAACAAAATGCCTCCTAAGTTAGGAGACCCCGGTAATTTCTCCATTCCATGTGCTATTAACAAGATGAAAATTGACAATGCTTTGTGTGATCTAGGGGCTAGTGTGAGCCTTATGCCCTATTCGGTCTACCAACGTCTAGAAGTGGGAGAACTTCTTCCCACTAATATTACCCTTCAATTGGCCGACTGTTCAATCAAATTCCCAAAAGGTAAGGTAGAAGATGTCCCATTACGGGTTGGTAAGTTTGTTATTCCGGTCGATTTTGTAGTTTTAGAGATGGATGAGGATAGCCATATACCCATCATTCTAGGACGTCCCTTCCTAGCTACTTCGGGTGCTCTCATTGATGTGAAGAGTGTTAAGATTTCTTTGAAAGTGGGAGAGAAAGTTCTAGTATTTGATTTGAACAAGAGTATGCAATATCCTAGTTCCAACTCTGAAAACTGTATGATGGTTGATACTATTGATTCTATTGTTTCTAGTATGCATGTG